GGCTGGAAAAGGCTGTTATTTTAGGCCGGATCAGGTTCCAATTGCACGGAGATGATGATAAAAAGAGATATTCACTCCCTGAATGGTACGAGGGGGAGGAATTGCTGGATGCGTATAAAATACGCTAATGCAAATAATCGGAATCTGTGGATGAAAGCCTTAAGTTTACCACCTGGATCGTAAAGGATGTACGCATCCTTTACGATTAATTATTGTTTAAGCGAGTTTCTGTGTCCGAACCTGTTATTGTTATATATACTGATGGAAGCTATTCGCCAATGCATGGCACCGGTAGCTGGGTGGCGCTGGTAATGGTTACTGAAGTGCCGTTTGTACTGAGCGGTGTTGTACAGCAGGCTACCCAGCATCGTATGGAGTTGACCGCCGTGCTGCAAGGAATTGAATACCTGGTGAAATCAGATCATGCATTTTCAGGAATCACTATTATAACTGATAGCCAGTATGTTGCAGGACTGTCCGGCAGAAAGAATAAACTGGAAGCCCATGGATTGAAAACCAGTAAGAACGTCGATATCCGTAATGCAGATCTTGTGGCTGTCTTGTTTCAATACATACAAGAATTACCACTCCGGTTTGAAAAGGTAAAGGCACATGCCCGTCAGGCAGATATTCCCAATTACAATCGTGAAGCAGATAAGCTGGCACGCGCCTTACTGAGAAAGGCGGTCGCCGCCTTGGTATAGCTTCACTTGCCGGTGATCAGGGAACTCCCTCTATTTAACCCCGCCTGCTTTGAGAAATGCTGTTTTCTTATTGTTTACAAACTGCGTGATCATCATTACTGCTTTGATAAGGCTGCCCCCGCTTTTTTAATTCATTCTATGTTATCTTTCGCACTGGAATGCAGGGCTTTTTTCAACAATTATGGAATGGGTGCAAAGTTGCAGTAACGATCCTGCTTACGTTTCTTTTGGGTGGAAGTACAGAAGGATTTTGTAAGACACCGGCAGACAGTCTGCTGCAGGAACTGCTGACCATCCGTGACCGGAATCTGCGCATGCAGGCCCTGTACATTGCCTGTGTGGAAAGATATACCGATGAGCCCCAGTATGCACGGCTATTTGCAGCAGCCTTTCTGAGGGAGAACCAGCAACAACCCAATGATACAAATACGGCAAAAGCTTATTACCTGATGGGGGATGTGGCTATGCTGGCCGGTAGCTATGATGAGTCGCTCAAATATTGTCTTGATGCATTGACGCTTGCCCGGCGCACGAATATGTATTTGCTACAAACAGATCTTCTATCAGATATATCTGGTATTTACCTCCGTACTAATGATCCCGAAAGGTCGATGGAAGCCATGCAGGAAGCACTCGCCATAGCCCGTGCACACCGCTTGCGTATTCAGGAAGCCAGGCTTATGAGCGGCTTAAGCATACGGTATGGCGTACAGGGAAAGTACAGCATGGCCCTGGCCGTAGCGGATTCAGCCCTGGCTTATGCCCGGCAATTAAACCAGTTCAAGCTGGTGGAGAACTGCCTCGAAAATAAAGCTATTTTTTATGGCTTGCTGGGCATGGACGAGCAGGCATTAAAGATGTTGCAGGATGCCCTGGTCATTGCAGACACGTTAGGCATCCCGAATTTAAAGGCCGGGCTGTTTTACCAGACCAGCAACCAGTACATGGCGATGGGCCGTCTGGCCGAAAGTGAGCAATATGCTAAGCTGGCACTCGGCAATGCGCAGGAGATCAAAGACCCGGGCTTTTTTATTGAGCTTGATAACCTGTTTGCAGAGATCTACAGGAAAGCCGGGAATTTTGAACAGGCATTTAAGTATCTGCAAAAGGCGACCACTTTAAACGATTCCATCTTTACCCAAAATAAGGCGGCACAAATACAGGAGCTTCAAACCCGTTATGATACGGATCTGAAGAACAAACAACTGGCCGCGCAACGTGCACAGATAACTTCGAACAAAAAGATCAATTTCTTTCTCTGGATCAGCTCAGCGCTGTTGTTACTGGTGGGACTAATCATTTACCTGAACCAGCGCAGAACCCAAAAGTTAAATGTCCGGATCCGCCGGCAGAGTGAAGAGCTGGAGCGGATGAACCAGTTGAAAGACCGTTTGTTAAGTACGATCAGCCATGATATGCGTAGCCCTGTTAATTCGCTATTGTCCTTCACCACGCTTCTGGAACAAGACCTGCCTGCAGAGCGGCTTTCCAGGTATGCAGCAGCGCTCAGGAACAGCCTGGGTTATACCGCCGGCCTGATGGAAAACCTGCTGAATTTTGCCAGAAGCCAGATGCTGGGTTATCATGCAAAAATTGAAATCATAGATATTGCCGCCATTACCACCGACGCCTGCTCTCTGTTGCTGCCAGCTGCACAACAAAAGCAGATTACGGTCCGCAACCTGATCAGCCCCGCTACCCGGGTCATGGGTGACGAGCAGATGATGGCACTCATCGTAAGAAACCTGTTGAGCAACGCCATTAAGTTTACACCTGCAAATGGAAGTATTTTGTTATCGGCCGGAGCAGGTATGGCTGGCTATAGGGTCTGGCAGATAAAAGATTCCGGTATTGGCATTGATCCTTCCCTTGTCACTGCATTCAATAATAGTGCTGTGAATGAACAGCCGCTTGAGCACAGCACCGGCACGGACAATGAAAAAGGCACAGGACTTGGG